CCTCTCCTCATTTTTATTGCTAGTGTATAACTGGGTTCTGCAGCTCTACTATGTCTCACTTCCTCCAACCTTGTGGCTTGTTCTCTCGCCTGATAAAATGGCCAGAACTTGAACTCCTGTCCTTGTGGAAAGTCCACCATTGTCCTCACTAATATCCAGAGCAGGGCATGTGTTCTCTTTCTTCTTTATTCCCCACAGCACCCTACTGCTCTTTTTTTTTTTTCTTCCACACTTTATTATACCTTAAGAAGCAAACTTCTGAAGGAGATATAATTAAAGGTACCACAGGTGTCCTAGCTTGTCATTATTGTTTTATCATTTTCATTAACAAAGCAGATTACAGTGTAGCCCTAATTTGCATTATAGTTGTTACAAGACACTGCACATTGTCCTGAAGAAACGCCATGATTTCCAAGATGCCAGGTCACTCTTCCACCCAGTGAATGTTGAGCTCACCAGCAGGTGCAGGGCAACTTGTATTCCAATGGTGTGCCAGAAATAGTGCGTTGCAAGATCAGCCTGGATTATGTGGACACAATTTTGAGGCAATCTCCATTATACATTTGGTAGAAGTAAAACTGCCTGAATTAATTTTACTAGTAGTGTATTAGTGTTGTTATATTATGAAGACATACTATATTTCATTACTCTGCTTAGCTCACAGAAGAATAAAGAATTTGGGCCAAAATTATAACCAGATGATGGGCAATTTTCTAAGCAAAAGAAAGTAAGTGCTGAGGTTAACAAAGATGTAGTAATTCTCTTCACATGGCCTTGTACTGTTTTGTGAACTGCATAATTAAAAATCCTGAGCTTAACAAAAATCTTTATAAATCAACTCATCAAAACAAGCATTTGGCCAATAAGGATTTAATTTCACACCAATAAAACTTCAGACTTTAGATTTATTTAGGGCTGTTGGCATATGTTCATAGAATATTTAGTTTACTCTAAAAGATGACAAGACAGCCCCCTCTCAGTGAGCCCCTGGCCTAAATATATTTGCTTTATTTATATAGCAAGAGGATAACATCAAACATGGAAGCTTTCAATTTGTGGCACTGAATGATGATCTACACAGGGCATCCTTCAAAGGCTACAATTAAGGATCCACCTAACTTTTCTGCAATACAAGCCCGATTGAGATCTTCTGGTCCATTTGCATTCTCTAAATACTGTTATTCCAAGGCTGTCTTAGATGTTTGCTGGACAATTTAGGTTAACAGAGGCTTTATACACAGATCAGTCTAAGATTGAAAATTAAATGCCTTGCATTCTTGTTCATAAAAGTTACTTGGCCATCTCTGTCACTAAGAATGTTTCCTTTTTGCTTTAGACCTGGCTTTATAAAAAGCAGTGATCAGTGATTTAAAATAAATATCTTTAGACTTAAATTGATGCTTCATTGTATGTCATGAAGATATTAGATTCTAAGGAAAGAATTAGAAAATTGTTAATTTTATGCTATAACTTTTAAAAGTTCTTTTCAAAAATGCTTTTCTATTAGTAAAAATTGGGGAAGAGAAGTTTAGTTTTCAAAATATTCATTTTTGGATAATGAGTGTAGCCCAGCTGACACTGAATTTTTCTTATTAAGGAAGTATTCTGAAAAAATTTAAATTAAAAGATGTTTACTTGGTATATTTTTTCTATAATTAAGTTGATTTGCTGATTTTGTTAGACATGTAGAATGGCTAACCTGCCTAACATGTTTAATATTTATTGTATCACATTCTTTGATGTTAAAATCTGTATTAGAACATCAGACCTTTAAGTGCCTTTGTATTATTCATAAATATTTTTGGTTTATGTTACTAATGTTTGGATTTTTAAATTTCAAAAAAAAAGTTTTTAATAGATGTAGTATATCCAAGTAATTTGTATTTAAAGAAAACAGAAGCCTGAATGTCATATCTATTACATAGTGAAGTGTGGTATTTATGGGGTACACAATTTTTGAGTGATAAACATTATAATTTCAAGCACCTATAACAGTGAAATATTTCTCGTTTTATGCATTTGTTTCTGTAAGATTTGTTTTTGCAGTTTTAACTTATCTTCCATTGCAATGTGTTAATATTGTTAAATTATACAAGGGAAGGATTATATATTACATACATACTTAATCATTTGGAAAGACTGAGACTCTCACCACAGTTCCGCTATTGACTAGATGAATGACCTTGAATCAAGTTACCTCTAAGGTCATTGTCTTTAACGTGGAGGCACTAACTTTATTTTTTCTCAAATTATATAAATGAGATTTCAAAACAAATATACAGTTTCAAAAAAAAATCATAAAGTCTGTAATCTCACCATTCATCTAACACTTGATTTATCTGCCTAGACTCACTACTAAGCAGCAGGGAACGAGCTTTGTCAGGGATAGAGCTGTGACCCCTTTTCTCCCTCTTGGCAGGAATTATTGGCAATTGACTATTGACAATTTCTTTAAGTGAACTGTTGATGTCTTTACTTAAAAATTTCAACCCCATGGAGTCATACAAAACAAGTATAATCCAACTACTAGTTGAGAAGCCAGCTATATTGTTTTCGATTTTTCTTTTATTTTTAAATTAAGTATTCTGTTTCATCTGTTACTTTTTTTATAGCAAGGTTTTTATTTGTATTGATTTTAAATTTTTTGGACATATGAAATAGACATTTGAAATAGACATAATGAAACGAGGTGAAATGAATTTGAAAATAAGACTGGATACAAATTTCGAAATTTGATAGATTTCCCCAGCGAAATGTTATTTTAAAGTCGTTTTGGCCTGGGAATTATAGTAATGATAATGTTAGATGCTTACTGTGTCCCAGGCTATGTTTTCTGATCTTTGGCTCTATTATCACATTCAGTTCTTACAACAATCCTATGAGGTATAAATATTTCCATTTTAGAAGTGAGGTAATGGGTAAATAGACACTAAGCAACATGAAATAGAAATTGAACCAATTATATATTTAAATTACATAATGTAAATTAAGCTGTGTATTAGAATATAATTTCTTTCCTTCCTGTACTACCATAGTGTATTATATAATCTACTGGCCTTCACGTTAGTTGCCAAGATTTGTTGAGGGCTTATATGCCAGTCAGTGTGCTAGTGCTTTCCACATTTTATCTCATTTAATCCTCACAACTGCATAAAATAGATAATGATTTCATTACTATTTTATAGGTGAGGAAAATGAGAAGAATTACTTACCCAAGATTATACAACTGGAAAATGGTGGAATTGGAATTTGAGTCTAGGCAGTCTTAACCATACAGTTCGTGCTCTAATCATTAGGCATACTGCCTCACTGCACTACACTGCTTTAGCATACTTGACTTTGTTGGGGCAAGAGAAGTAGATACTTCCTCTTGACAGGTAATTCCAACTATATAAGATATAAAATATATGGATAGTTACTGGTGTGTGCATCAGTGAAGCCCTTAGAAAATAATTTTTTTTTCTGCAATAATTTGCTTACTAGCTGCATATGAAATAAATACAAAGCCCAAACTTGATCTTTGATTTGAAATACTGTGCAGTGTTTTGTCCTGGGAAGATAAGAGCCAAGACAAGTCATGCTACTTACTCTAGTTTTAAGGGAAATTTGGAATATTAAATGAAATTTAGGATATTTAGGGATATTAGCAATAGCTCTTTAGTTTTTATCAAACTTGACTTAACAATTTGTATTTAATTGGGGTTTAAAGCAGATTTCCATGATATCTAATGTGTCTATATTCAGATGCATTTCAAAGTCAAATATAAATGTGTATTTTCAGTTGTCTTTTCCTCTCCATTATTTGTGCATGTAATTTAGAGTTAATTGTATTACTATTATAAATGATATGGTTGCTTCCTCTTGCATTATACTTTTCCAGTAGTAAACTACAGACAAAACACTTCTCAGAATATCAGATTCAGAATGTGCTCAAAAGCTCTTCACTTAGAGACTAAAGCACTGAAAAAAGTTAGCATGTGTGACCTTACTATTTAACAAGCAAATTCAACTCTATTATTTCTTATATGTTAATAAATACATTATTTCTTTGAAAGCTATGTTTCACATTTGTATTCTTTTTTTGGGGAGCGGGTTACAATTTTGTTTTTACTTTCTTTGGAGGTTATTCAATTTGGCATGATGGCTGTCCTCAGTAACGCCTTATTTGTCTGTGTGCCACTTTTCACTTTCTTTTTGTCAATGGAACCTGGAAGCATTAAACACATCTCTCTAATTGTTAATATTAAAAAAAATGAACTTTTTCTGTGATGTGTGACTACTTGGCATTTTTACCTCATCTTCACAGATCTAAATGTTTGAAGGAAAGGATTAATTTTTATGTTTACCCCAGTCAAAAAGTTTTACTTCTAATCACCAAAATTTGTCTTCTGAAAATAAAGACACAAAGGTAACAAATAATTGTAACCTAACATATTTCTAAATAGCCTTTTTAAAAGAAAGTCAGCATAGGCACAAAGGATAACAATTATTTGAAAATTTCCTCCTTGAGACTCTGTATTTGAGTATAACCATCACTGACACATACTGATTAGATGTGCTTGTTTTCAGCACAATTGCATGCTTTCTCAAGCAATGTCAAATTGCCATATTTGATGGAAAAATAGCAAATTGCAATTTTTAAAATACATTTATTGATCAAATGTTTCCTTTTATAAATATAAGTGCTTCATCATTTTAATATATATATATATATATATATATATATATATTTTGCTTTAGAAATATAGCTTTATTTTGACAACCCCAAATAATAATAATACAAGAGGAGGCAACTCAGTGTTTCAAATGATAAAAATAGCTCAGTTTTAACCAATAGAAACCTACACAAGATCATGGCATTTTAGGGTATCTGTCTCTTTGGACCAGATCATATGTTATTTGAATCTACTGTGGTTTGTTAGTATGTTTCATAAGACATAGTGCAGAGCTGCTATGATCTTTAAATGTTAATGTTCTTTTCTTATCACTTTACTGTGTAGATACCCTTCATGAGACCCAACTCTGCCACAGCTCATCCACGGAGGCAATCCCGGAAACCTCTTTTATAAGTGTGATTTTAAAAATGTGGATTAAACTCTCAATAGAGTACATAAAGTAAAGGAGAACAGCTATCTTGTCCTTTCTATAAGCTTATCACTGCAAAAAGTTGCCTTTTGCTTGTCAGGTTTGGATAGCATATAATTGATTGGTTTGTTACTTGGACTAACAAGGCAATAGATTTGCCTATGTGGATTTTTTTTTCCTATTTTTCTTCTTTTTTTGCACTAATCAGAAACATTTGATATGTGCATTGTTGAAAAAAACTGGATACATGTCTTATCAGAATTGTCCTATAAAGTAATGTCTTTCCCTCTTGCTTCTTTGGCAAATGATGATGCACAGTGTTTGGACGTACTCAAGAGTTACTAAAGCCTGTGGGACTTAATAAATACAATATGCTACTCCCTGTTGTTGAACAATACAAGTAACAAACAAGAAAGACAATGTATTCCATTAATCTGCTATTCTGTTTCCTTCAACTTAATACATAGATTCATATATGAAGTGCTGCATTGTAAAACAACTATAGACTCTTATATTGGACGTTATTTCTATTTATAGTATTCAGCAAAAGTGAAAGACTTGTGAAACATATGACATTCTATTTTTGACTTATTAGTCCTAGTGTGAAATCATTAATAATATTAGCATGAAATTTTTACAATTTCAGAGTTTAAGCTCATGAATAAAAATACATCTGTATTGATCTCTAGATATTTTCTAGTAATCCCCAAATATATTCAGTCCTTATTGTTTTAATATAAACTTTCTGTGTTCAGTATAATTTTATTTTTCTCAACCTTAAATATGAACTTAGGAAATAAGGAGGGAGATACAAAGATTATTGACTATACAACCTACCAGCCGAAAGAAAGATCTTCATCAACATCAGTATCTTTCCAGAGGTATACTGAATTAAATTTGATCTTCAAGCTTTAATGATCCAGTTTTAAGTCAACGGCAGAAATATGTTGAATATTTCATCACTCAATCTTGAACTGACTTAGAGACTCTTTGCTGAAATTGAAATGCACATATACATGTAAATTGTCAACATGTAATTTGGAATTTTCTGATTAATAAATGTGGTTTTGGACATATTTTTGGGTACAGTGACAGTGGAAAATAGTTTAAACTTTAGGAATAGAATAGGTGATGTTAATTATCAAAAGCAATTGTAATTGTAAAGCAGCTGTAATCCAGTAATCTCTAGTTACAGTGAGGAACCCTATGATTGGATGAAATGTTTGATAAAAATAAAATGTGTATGTAATTACATATAAACAGATTATGAACTTACCGAAGGATCTCCTAACATTGGGGGAGAAATATTCATACTCTTTAGCAAAACAAGTAGCCTTTTTTTTTTAAAGAATAAGATGGGACTAGTTATCACTATATAAGCTGAAGGAAATGTTGGTAATTATTACTTTTGCTGGACTCTGGCTGATTTTAAGCGAAACAACAGATTGCCATTTTCTAAGTGAAATATACTAATATATTAGACCATGGCCCTTTTTAAATATTTAGTGAGAAATTACTAGCAGTTGCTTTATTTTAGGTTTTTTGAGAAATTGTTAGGCCTTGTTTTGGTATCACTGTTAATCAAAATCCTTTTCACTTTGATTCTAATTAGAATACTGTATTATTCTCCATCTTGCGTTTTTGGTGGTGGTGGATATACTACTCCTCGTTTGATGCTAGTGCTAGTCTTAAGAATCTTTGTCACATGTTTTACATAAAAATTGCAAAATTCATAAGATACAGACCCTGCAAAAAGTAAGTTGAAATAAGAGAACTTTTGAAGTAACTAGAATAGAGTGCTTTCTCCTAATAATCTCTTAAATGTGCTCATAGCCACAGTATAAAATTATTCCCTGTCCATAATTGGTCCAACTGCTATAAGGAGAAAATTGATATGTGCTTAAGAAAATATGTACTAAGTGATTCATATTTCATAGTCGAACATAAGAGAAAAAGACACATCAGTAAATGATGGTTGTTTATCACACAGTAGGGAAAGGAAGAAACATTAACATACCAGGAAGGAAATGAATGTCTCTGAAATACAAGAAGAATGACAATAGTAAGTAATGGTTCTCAAACTTTGTGCATCAGAATCACAGGAAAATTTGTTAAAACACAGGAGACTACCCTGTCCTCTCCTCATCCTCCTTCCACCCACATTATTCCCTCCTCATTCTCCCTGAGTTTCTGATTTAGTAGAAAATTTGCAGTTCTAGCAAATTCCCAGGTGATGGTGATGCTGCTGGCTTGGAACAGCATATTAAGAACCATTTTTAGGTAGTATTTTTTTTTTTAAATCATTGTGTTGTGCTCAACATTGATTGACAAAGGAATGTGCTTTTTAAATCTCCCTAAAAGGGCCCTTAGATTTCCTCTAGATTCCTCTAATTTATTCTAGAAATTGGTAATTCCATCTTCAACATGTGCATTTTTTTTATTTTACAAATTTAAATAAATGTTTGTTTTACACTGACTATGAAAACAACAGTATTTTAGATACAGAAAGAAATCAATAAACATAGCCTGTGTTCACAATTCACTAATCCTTTTGTTATAAAGACTTGAAATTAAGATTATGTTTGAACATGAAAACAAAACTTAGCCTTTATCTGAAGTTTAGAAATTATATTTATGCATTTTTTACAGATCATTGTCATTCATTGTTGCTTGAGTGTTCATCCGATTTTATATTTATGATGTTAAAAATAGACTGCTGACCAATAAATAATAAAAATATTTACACTCTATCCTATTTCCCTGTATTCACATCCTATTACTTAATGAAAACCACTGTTTTTAAACAACCTACCACTATTTTACTTGATTCTCAATATGAGAATATTTTATGAATATTTCACTAAAATCTATTCAAGGAATTCAAAAGGACTCTCCTGCAGAGCAGAATATTTACATTATTATTTTTTTTTACATTTTAACATGGCAATTGAAACTTGTTTGAGAGACTCAACTTGGAACTTCATGACATATGAAGGCAGAATCATTTTTCTACCTGTCTGAATGAGCACTTTGTAAGTTTACATAAAATTAAGGATTATGATTTCTAAGATAGGTATACTTTGCAAATGTTTCTCTATAAAAATGGAAGCCTCTTTCTCATAGTGCTCACTGTAAGGCTTTCTGTAGGCCTGCTGATAAGATTCACTGCTGTTCAGGTACATAAGATGTAATGAAATTGGAGGCACATGCTGGGCTTTGTAAATAAAATGAGATTGACCCCCAGCAATTATCTCATTTATCTGATTTACATTGTAAAATCAGGATCTACGCTATTGATTAGAACATAATTAGTTAATTATGAACAAGGAAATACAAAGTTACTTGGAGCTTGAGCACAGCAGGTTGTACTGCTGAAAAATTTCCAAGGGCATGAGCAGATGGAGATCAGTTTATTAAAGAACAAAGCAGACGTGTTTCAGGTATGGAAATGTCTAATCCTTCTCTCATGCTGTGGAGAGGCACTTGACCTTATTGGATATTTTTATATGAATTGTTTTGTCTCATCTTTCATTTTTTTGTTTCCCATTTAATCTTGTAATCTGGCTGCTGCAGACATAACTGAACTGATCCCACTCTTGAAGTGACTATTAAATATAGATTTGGATTCCAATACGTTTCCAATTTTTTAAAATTAATTTTATGTGTACTTTTATGTGTAAATAATATTTTTGTCTATCTTACTACTCATTCATTTATTATTGACTGATAGAGAAATCTATAGTGGTATTAATGAAATAGGTTCAATTCCTGCACATTAGTCTATTTGTGAAACAAAAGACGTTTTCTAATTATTTTGTATAGAAACTGCTCATGTAGGTAATTTGCCCTAAAATTGTTGTAAATTACAAGGAATAATATATTGTACTTATTGATACTAAATGTTATTCAATATCGGTAGAATGCAGAATTTTGTGCAAGCTTGTATTATTTGTAAAGTGATTTAACTCACTGAACACAATTTGTATTTTCTCCATCTATTAAGATGTTTAATTGAAATAATTGGCCACTATTCAATGAAATAATCACTACCTGTTAATAGATTTGCATAGATGTTTGAGATGTTAGTGAGATTTTTATTTAAGTAATGATAATATTCAAGACTAATATTCTTGAACGTTCTTGTGTGGAATTTTTACACAGAAGTGAAAAAGTTGGAAAATTCAAAACACTAATTATCTGAATAATTTTTTTTAAGGGGACAGACATCATAGTCTATATTTTCAGAGTCCATTTATTGTTTTGCTTTATGTAAGCTTAAGGCGCTATAAGTAAAATGTTCCATTGGCATGAAAAATAGTGTGATTATCACAATCAACTTGATCACAAAAGTGTATTCCCTTGTTCAAGCCTATGTTATGAATTTTGCTTCTTTCTCAAGTTTAGCTTATAAGTGGCTATAAATTATTTGCATAGGAGGTGCACTTAATTTTTTCAGTTAGGTTTTAAAAAGTAGTTTTAGTTGACTCCTTTAATGCAATTATCCATTAGAAATTAGAGATGTTAAAGAAACCCTTTGGAACGCTGACTTTAGGCCTGTCTCTTAGGCATAAGAAGAAATAAATCAGCTGCTGCTTTTTACTTGTTTGCATATTCTCAGTAGTCAGGTAAACACCTGACTTAATTGCTTGTTATATGGATCATAGCACATATAAAGATAAATTGCTTTTCCCTCTTCTTTGTTTAGGGTGCTATTCTTAATCATGTACTAAGTAAGTATTTACATACATATAGACTATGTTTATTTGGTCACTGTATTTTAATTAATGTGTAAAAGACCATATATAAAGCTACTTGTTATTTACATCTATATTCGTTATTAATCTGATGCCTAGGAAGTTGCATTTAGTAAGAATCTAATTAATCAGGTTTGCCTTTATCTTATAATTGGGATTACTTTATGCTCTGTAGTGTAATTGTGTACAGTGTTTACTAGAGGCTTAAATGATACTTCTTTAAGCATCCAGTTTTCATTTTATTAAAAAATCTTAGTGTTTGTTTACAGGTTAGTTTTATATTCTCTTTTAATATTTTAAGACATTGCTTTCCTATTTAATAATGTGCTATTGGCATAATAGTCTGTTTTTATGACATAGACGTTTGTGTTATTTAATAAAGTATATTGTCTTATATCACTATACTTTTGTGGGTCAGTGATTGCTTTTGCAAACGTTTTTTAAAAACATTTTATTCACTGTTTATTTTGATAAGTTGACTATGTCCTATATTATGTGCTGCATGTCTTTCCAAGTTTGTGTAAGAAATAAAGGTAGAAACCTTAAATAAAATTGGTCAATAACTACTTTAACTCCATTGCAGCTTATAGATGCTTATGAGTTTTTGGTTTTTGAGTTTTTTAAATAGTCTAAATTTGCAACATAGCCAGAGTTTGTTGGGTGACAGAATTTGATAAAGATTACAAAGTGTTATGTGTGCATGAAATTAATAAGCTGCTATTTTGGCCATCCACATTGTTCTTTGATTTCTTGGGTTCTTAATAGTATCTCTTACATTTGTCTGTAGTTTATTCTCGCAAGTTCTGCTAGAGTTCACTTGTGTTTATCAGGATGTTTCTGTGCTTAGCACATAAAGCTATAGATTGTTTCAATTCAATATTCTAACGTAGAAGCAGCCAGATTTTTTCACATTGAAATAATTTGAGACCTCTTTACAAAGAACTTGTATTTGTATATTTATTTATCAACAAAACTATTGACTTCAAGATTGGCTCTTTTTTTCCCTCTTTTTTGGATTTTGGCAGTTCCTAAGCATACTAACTACTTCTTTTTGCTACTTAGTCTTGAAGCTGCAGCTTTTATTTACTGTTGAGTGAGCTAGAAGTTCAGAGAACTTCCCTATTATCCCTAATTCTGACAAGCAAATCCTTTTTCCTTTGGAATGCATCACAAATACATGAGAGTTGCACATGTCGACTAAGTAATTCTGAATGGTATCACTAATGAAGGACCCAGACAGCAAGGATTAGGTCATTTCTAAATAGCATATATTTGTTACTGTCTTCTGATAACTTTCTGTTACTCTTTTCACTAGTTCTTGAGCTGAAAGATAATTTGATTTTACAAGTAGTTGAAATCAGCAACAGATTGGAACTGTATCAGTGCAGCAAACTTGTTCTTAGTTTATCAGCTGGACTTTCATAGCTATAGAAACAAGAATTATTTATGTACATTAAGGTGATAAATAATGAATTGTAATTCATGTTCATCATACTTGCCTCAAGTTATACACTAGAAATCATAATTTGAAAATTATTATGACACAGTTATAAAGAAAACATGCAGTAATTAGGTAGTAAATTGATATGAACTAGGAAGATGTTAATAATTCATCAAGAACTTTGATTATTAGCAATCTGAACTATATGGCATACTACCCAAAAACCTAAAGTTAAGGAAAAAAGACTATAGTTAACAAACAAAATTGAGCCCATTAGTAGAAATTCTCATTTTCATGTATGTCTACTGTCCATTTACATAGCCTCAATAAGCTTTAGTATTCTGGTTTCTGAATCCATAACAGACTGTTTTTGGGGAATTTATGCTTAACCAAACACACTAACAATATCAGGAAGCAGTGGCTGATAGTTTTCAAGCAATTGAAGACCCTGAAAATCTATGAAAATTGAATATAAGAATTTAAATAGATCAGCAGACTACTGGTCTACATACCAAGGACAAAAGGCTGACATACTGTTAGACGTGTAGCAGCATATGTTATTCTTACTGATGACCTGAGGTGACAAATACAAATTATATTAAATATGTTTGTTTGTTTAAATAAGCAATGTGATTAGTTTTAAACTTCTTATCAAATATGATTAAAACACAGGTTTTTATGTATGAAGGAGTACACTTTCAGTTATTTACAAGTCTCAATCTTCTCATGAACTCAGGAATACTTTGAAGATTTGTATATCCATATGTTTAATTGAAATTTTGGCTAATGAAAGGTAAATATATTGTATTGAGAAAAAAAGAGCATAAAATTATGTGGGCTTGCCAGTTAGTCCCTTGATGTCACATTTGAAGTTAGCTTATATTACTTGTTATTCTTACTTAATGCCAGAACAACAGATATTTGAACATTTAAATTGCTTTTAAATATATTTTTAGTTATGTGTTAAGGTCATAGTAAGTAAAGTACTGTTGGTCCTATTTGACTTTATCTGTTCCTGTAGCTAGAACTGTCATAGTAAGCATTTTTTAAAGTCTTGAGTCTAAAAAGTTTTTGGAAAAGTACTTAAGCTTATTTTATTCATAAGGAGAAAGTTGTAGAGGAAGAAATACATAAACTTAGGGCATTCAATTGCATTTTAAACTTCTTTATACCTGAATAACATAGCTAAGTTGCTTAACTTTTCTGAAACTCTCAGTCCCAAAAGGAGTTTTTGGGAGACTGAATTTTTGTAGCATCATATGAATTTCTACTAAAAAATGTAGATTTACATTCCCTTGTATTATGACGGTTTCTCTAAGTTAATTGTTTCTCATTGTGTGTTGTTTATGTAAGAAGAGCTTCTGCCTCTTTTTTCCTAAAAGGTTATTGAATAGTAATTTTCAACTTTGAGTAATACATGTTCTATAAATTTTTCTGCTTGGTTTCTTAATCGTAGATTTCTTGACATTTGAAGTTTTAAATTGGTGAAAGATTAATAAAGAAAATCTGACAGATTGGTTGAGAAAGTGTTATTGTTTAATTTTTTTAAAAAAGTAGTGTGAAATGAGGAATGCAATCCCTTTTATAAGGTGTATACTTTTTGTTATTTGTTGTTAAATTTTGGTCTTGTTATTCCAACTGATGCAAAATTCTTTTTACAAAGCACTGAAATAATACAGATTTTTCTTCATTGTCAGCAGGATGAGATTGTCTGAAACGAAGAATAGGTATGGTAGTTTTCTTAGATTTTGTACATCATAGGTGACAAATATACCATCAAAACATTTATTAAGTTTTTACATTTACTAGGAAGTACTTTGTAAAACCAAATGGTCTGAAGAAAGTGACAGGTAAATTTGAGAGAGTAAAACTAAATTATTGGGGTAGTTTCTTACCTCTTTGTATATTTAAATGTTCTGTGATTTAACATGTAAAGGTTATTTTTATTTGCTATAGATTTTGTTAGCATGCTGTAAATGTTAGAAAATTCATTTACAATCTACTTTAACTGGGAAAAAGAGAAAAATCAGGTGCAAATTGCATAGCATTGATTGCAACCTAGTGTAGCCTAGTAGAATTTCTGAGTATTACAATTTTTTAAATAATCAAAATGTATATTACTGGATTCATTTCCTTGAATTACATGTGTATCTTATTAAATATTTTAAAACTATTTAATGGGCAAATGATTAATTCTTTAAGTTCACAATTGAAATTGTTGCAGTTGTTTTGAATACATATGATAATATACATTCATTAATATGCTCTTAATAGTTCTGCTATCAAAGTGCTCTAAATATTTGTTTCATTTGTTGATTTTATTGTTTTTGTATTTTGTTTTTGCTAAAACATTTATTTCAGGTTTAGTTTGCCTTTATCGTAATCATTAATTTGATGATCTTGTGAGCCAAGGATAAAATTAACAATGTCGAAGTTGAAATATACAATAGTTTGTCTTTTTGTCTTTGAAGTAGATGGTTTATATGTTATTTAGATACACCTACCTATAAATCTGTTTACCCTACAGGTGTGATGAATGCAGACTCTGCTACCATTTTGGCTGTTTGGATCCTCCTTTGAAAAAGTCCCCTAAACAAACAGGTTATGGATGGATATGTCAGGAGTGTGATTCTTCATCTTCCAAGGTAAGGGGAGGAGTCTGTAAGAAAAGGAATTGTTTCCCTTCTTTTTGATAGCATTTCCATGTCACACAATCAGCTTCTTAACTTTAAAGATAATTGGATTATGAAGGACCAACATTTCAACCAATATACCTTAAGAATATATGGCTATGGGCCGGGCACTGTGGCTCACACCTGTAATCCTAGCACTTTGGGAGGCTGAGGTGGGTGGATCACCTGAGGTCAGGAGTTCAATACCAGCCTGGCCATCATGGTGAAACCCCACCTTTAAAAAAAAAAAATATATATATATATATATTTGCATATATATATATATATATATTGACATATATATATTTATATATATATATTTTTTTACATATATATATTTATATATATATATATATTTACATATATATTTGTATATATATATATATATACACACACATATGGCTATGGTGATTTTCTTGCCGTGGTGAAATGCCATCCCTACTAAAGGTACAAAAAGTCAGCCCGGTATGGTGGTGCATCCCTATAAGCCTAGCTACCTGTGAGGCTGAGGCAGGAGAATCACTTGAATCTGGGAGGCAGAGGTTGCTGTGAGCCAAGATC